CAAAAGTTCTAGGCGAGGTTGCACGATATAATCGTACTGATGTACATGTGCGTTTCAGGGAAAAGTAGGCACACGAGAGTAGAACCGGGACAATGCAAAGCTGACCGAACACTGATGCGTCCCGAACCAGGCTTTGTAGTGGACACAAAACAGAGGAAGGCTGAAGCCTGATAGAAATGTATTTCAGGTGATTGGCTGAGCCTCGTCACCAAAAGCCAGCAATGCTCGCTTGTTGGGGACTAATTCATGCAATGTAACCCAAGCGCGATAGCAGCAATATGATTGGCAACTCATGATAGTTTGGCAACCTATACCATCTGAGAGGCTTTCCAGTATTAAGCGCCGAAGTAGTATTTGGATCTAGATCGTTGCCAAATCTGAGCACCATCGTCCCTTTTCTGTCGAGGATCGAAGTGATTCGTAGGCACCCGAGTGGGGGTTCGCAGAGTCCCCTCCAGTCCCCACAACCATACAAGTATCTTGACGCACGGGTACCACAAGGGTATGTAGAAGAGCTATGCCCAAAAAAGTACGTCTTCATGACCGTGGAAATGAGAGACGCGCATGTTTTGGCCCCCACAGCCCCAGCGCTTAGCGAGCATCATGATTTGGTCCTTGGACAAGGAATCCTCATGACTGTTTCATGATGATTCAGAAGGGGAGATCGTAGAAGATCTCATATCATTTTAGTGCCTAGTATTACTGTCCGAGGTTCCCAGAGTAATTGAAGAGAACTACTGTGGGTGTTTCAGATCACCTATTTATACCAAATCGATCTCCTTCCCCAATCGACCTCCATGCCGAAGTTCTGGCCTGGAGGTATGCACCGCTATCGATAGCCTTTTTGATACCGTAGAGACCACTGAAAGGCCATGTGCCGACAAGGGAGGAGCCTAGAGGCGCATTCATTGCCAGTTTCTCGGCGTTGACATCGACTTTCACTTTCTCGTAGACGCTTGGCAAGGAGGTCGCATTGTACTTTTCGCGCAGGGCATCATACCACTTCCGATCGTACATCTGCCAGAACTCATCTTCGGCGTAATAAGTTTGCGCATAAAGCCACTTCATCCCGCCCAGCGCTCGGAGCTTCCGCTCGAGGTCACGATTAGCTTGTACAAAGTCATCCGGTTGAGGTGGACCGAATCCCCAGAGGCCAATATTAAGCATAGGCTTCAGGCTGTGACCGTCTGCTTCCATCTCATTCACATGAGGATGCATGGTTGGCAGTTGGCTCTGGCGTAGAGGGCAAAGCCAGAGGGGATAGATACCGAAGACCTTGTCCGTATAGTCGACGAACTGCTCAGCCGTTGAGAATGGCAACGCTAAGTCCTGAATTATGCATTTCTTGGATTGTCCACTGGCGTGTAAAGCCGTGTACATCATGCGTGTGTGCACAAAGTCATCAAGCCACCAGCGTGTATAGTCGTTGAAGGGCATTTTGAAGTAATCGAAGGCGAGAGCTCCAACCCAGAAGCCTCCACGGTCGTAGCGAAAAAGATATTCAGCCATTGGAATCATCTCTGTGGTTGGACCACTCCTCTTTGTGATAGCGTCTTGTACATGAAGGTAGAACCAGGGATCCTTGGCGTCACTGAAGCGTTGAACCCGGGCGTTCTGATTGGGAATATCGGTCATCCGGCCAGTAATGACGGCGCCCTGGGTTTTCGAGTACAGAATACCATCCACATAGTCAAGCTCAGGATCCATTGTGACCTTTTCAATCTTCTCTATAGCTTCAGCCACACTTGATACGGGATGGTACACTGTTTCGACGTATTTTTTGGCTTGGCGGAGTTGCAGTTCTACCAAGGTTGTGACGCCCAAACTACCAACGGCGCCAGCTGCACCGTGAAAGAGATCAGGCTTTTCGTTCTCTGAGCATCTGACGACTTCCCCATCCGCAAGCACCATCTCGATATAATTGATCGTTCGGTTGAAGAATCCATGCTTGAAAGAACTGCTCTCCCCTGATGTCCCAGCATAGCCACCCCCTACTGTGATGCCAGGGAACTCCATAACCACAGGCGGCACCAACCCATATTTGATTGTTTCCTCCACTAGTCTATCCATCGGCACATTTGGCTCCACTAAAGCAGTCTGTTTTTCGGTATTGACTTCCAGGACGTGGGAGAGGGAGCTCGTGTCGACGATGTTTTTATGTGTAACAGTAGACTGCCGTGTACTATTTGTAGAGCCATGGAAGATGCGGAACTTCTGCTTCCGATCATAGAACTCTCTTACGCTGGTTGAGATGCGTTCAACGGCTCTGTCGTGGCTGTATACAGACGCGCCTGCCTTCGCTGTGGAGAGACCTCGAGTACTCTTGCGACGCTGTAAGAATGGAGAAAATGTCTGTTGCACTGGGAAAGTAAACCAAATTGGTCGCCCGTGGGCAACCCATGCAGGTGTGTGAGGCCTCATGTATATTGGCTTTATGAATGTTTGCAGCGTCCTTCCACCACAAGAGGAGCTGTGTTCGGCAAACCTTCCCCAGAAAAACGAGGCAAAGTGTCAGCAGATCCTCAAAACTTCGGCCAAAGTAGCATCAATCAGGAAGTTTCGAAGCTGTTTAACGCTCTCCGGGACAGTTTCTGTTTGAACGACAGATGATCCCGGGCCGATGGCCCAAATTGACACAAGGACAAGTGGGTACAGCGCTTCAGACTGCCACTTCGGATGGCTTGGCTGCAAGCTGTTCGCAGTCGACTCCGGGCATCATCCCGGGAGCATATGTTGATCCTGATCAGGATTGCTCTTATTGGTCCTACTCTTGTCAGTACTTGAGGGGGTTACCGCTTCGACTGCTACTTTCCGGGCACCTTGTCCGCTTCTGACGATCAACATCGCACCTTACACACTCCTCCGACGGCACACCTTGAAGCGCAACACAACTTACGGACACTGTCTGTCAAGAGTCGGCGTAAGGACAAGCAAGAGGAAGGGTCTGGAGAAGCTAGGCCAGGGGGCATTGGACCTGAAGCGTACAAGATGAGCCTACATGTCACAGTGGAAGAAGGGCGATGAGAGATGGAGCTGGCTGGTTCAGGCGCTGGTGACGCCAGGCGCTCGCAAAATGGAGAATCGGGTGATACATGACGCTTGTGTGACACTTGGAAAGGGCCATCCTTGCGCGGAGAAGATGAAGAGCACTGCGAGACTGGACACAGAGGCTTTCAAGCATCGATGAGGCGGCTGCCGTTTTCTGATTGCTATTGTGTGCCATTCGACCAGACTATCCACTGTACGCCCTTGTTTTGGGTTATGAAGTTTCTTGATCGCCTCTCAGGATTTCGTCTCTGTGATTGTGAAGCATATGCTTACTTTTAGGCGAGGCTTGCTCTACATGGGTAGCATATGCTCGACACACGCGTAGTTTTAACCCCGGCCGAAATCTTTAGAAATCACTTTTACGCCTGTTGAGTCGCTTATGCTCAGCATGTGCTCACCCTTGCCGAACTTGTCTCACCCTACCGAGCTGGAACATAGGATGAAAGGTACCAGCGCAATGGGATGTAGGGCCCGTCTCCCCAATTGACCATCGACAATAGGACCATGCATGAATATTCTCGAGACAGCGGCCTCCCTAATGTTATTTTGCTACTCGTATCACTGAATGCTACCTGCATACCTCCTCGTCCTCTTTCTGATTCGTCGCCAATGCAAGGGTAACTTGTTATCGATGAACATAGCACCCACCAACGTTGCAGAATATCACGTATCATGCATTCTGCATGCCCAATAACAGCAGCCCGAAGAGCAAGCAGAGGTTGAGCTGCACCTCTCGAAGCAAGACGGCATAGCTTGGGGTATCAACTTTAGTTTCAAGGAAATGTTGCAGAAAGAAAATCTGACATATAAAAGGAAGCCCCCGAATGCACGTAACCGTCTTTCCGATACAAGTGAGAGCCGGTTACGACTTCTCAAGTACACAAATATGTGAGGGGTCATGTCCAATGCAAAGTTCGGATCGACTGCTCGAATAGCGAGAGGATCTGCTTTGGACGAAGAGGTTCAATCCGTCTGCCAGGAGCTTTGATTAATTATGCTAGGCATTTGGCCCCGTTTAGCGAAAAGCACCTTCTGCACCTAACTTGCCACATGGTCAAGTGATAACATCTGGCTGAGTGCTTTGGCACAACCTCCTCAAGAGGTCTCGATAGGACTTGAATAAATAACAACTCCATAATTTAACATCAAGTCTGCCTTCTCGTCATGTCTTTCACACCCTATGATATCCCCGCCTTGGTAAAGAAGATCAACACGACAAGCAAAGACTTGGGCAAAGACACTGGAGGGGCACGATGACAGTGTTTAGATGCCGCTCGCTCGCTGGTCTTTGCCTTGGAAACGCCCGTCGAGTCGATCCTTAGGAATGTCTGGGCTGAGGTTTGACCGTCTCCACCTAACTAAAGTCTCTTATGCCGATCGTCGGATGGGACACAGCAAGGGCACCATGCTGCAATACGTGCTGCTACCGACTTGGATGTTCCGAAAGACTAGACGAGAGTCATGGGGATGCTAAGAGCATCTCTGAACTTGCGAAGATGACGCACGCGGACCCGGTTCTTATGAATGGGTCGTGGTATTTCTCGAGTCTCGGGATAGTCTGCAGCTTAGTAAAGGCTGAAAAACTTTCTAGGACGGTTATTGAAGGATCTAGCAGCGATGGGTAGTATCTACGATAGAGGTCCCAACGAGCTCGTCCCCACTTCATCTTCGAAAGCTCTCCAAGAGCCAATGCATCGAGACGCCTAGCCTACTGTATTCATGCTCCACATTTTGTGTCTGACTCTACTATCAACTCAAGAGCCGACCTCTGTGACAGGCTTGATCTAAGCGATCCAAACATCTTTGCGCTTCCAGAACCCCTCTACAACAGCCAGTACAAGAACCTTGACAACCCTATCGATGGCGCGATTCGACTTGGCCATGGCACAAAACATCACCTCTTCGAATGGTTATCTCAACGTCCGGAACTTTTATCGCAATTCTAAAATCATATGGCTCGCTACTACACTGGAAGGCGGAGTTGGATATGTCCCAACTTCTACCTCGTCGAAAAGAATCTTGTCGAGGGCGCTCAAACAGAGTATGATGCGGTTTTTCTAGTCGATGTAGGTGGCGGAAAGGGCCGTGGCTTGCAGGAACTGTATCGAAAGCGTCCTAGGTTGCCCGGAAAGTTGGTACTCGAGGATGTTAAAGGCGTGATTGAAGAAGCAGAAGCATTTGGTCTCGACGAGAAAACCGTACTCATGAACCACGACTTCGCAAAGCAGCCTATCATAGTATGTTTGCCAAGACAACGGAAAGTCATCTGCTAACATCGCTAGGTGCACGAGCCTATTACATGCATTCTTGTCTGCACGACTGGCCCAATTCCAAAGCCCACGACTTTTCAAGCCCTCCCTTGATCTCATGAGACCTGCGCACTCCTAAAGAGCCCATCTTCTGTCCGAGACATAAATTGCTCGCTTAAATCACCTCGCATAGCATCCTCCTGTGATACACATTAGCGACAGTCACTTTGCACTATTCCTTCACTTTATCTCACATCTTGTCTCGCTTTGATCGGGTCTGATTGTTGTCAAAAGCGTGAAGCAATACAGTGCCACGATGAGTATCACTCTTTACTCCCAGCCTGCGCCTGAATGCTGGGTGTCATTTAAAAGCTTGTAGCGATACTGCCAATTGCGACTATGAGTATCACTCTTCGCTTGGCAACCCTGGCACGTACCTTGTCTTTCACTATATCTGCAACACCTTCACAACAACTTCGTAGCTTCCAAACCTGCGGGTTCTTTGCTTCTCGAACCCCTCCACCATCTACACATTACGTTCCTCATCCTCCAACCTTGACCGGCGGTCTATCTAGATCCGACGACGAGTTTCCGCTCAGCAAGCGCGGTCTGTTACACACACATCCAACGCGACAGGCAGCTTCGAAATGGCGACTTGGTTTAGTCTCGAGGGGACAGATCAAGGTACGCACAACATGAATTCCCCAAATCACAGGCTGATAAGCAACCAGTCGACCTGACTCTCGTCAATTGGGGTCGCCCGGCCTTACCACCCCTCACCTTCGAGGATTTATGGTACCCCCTCAACACTGGGTCCTATGAATGCGGTTACCTTCGTCCGCTTGTGACGGGCTTCCCTCTTCCAGCCTACCTTCTCTCTCTTTTCATCGTGCAACAACGGAAAAGCTCCTTCTTACACAAAAAATAATCTGTATGAATACTCAAAGAAGGATGAACAATCACCAGGGTCTCCTATCTTGCACAAGCTGATTTGAAGATTAGACAGACTGTACTTCGCCACTTAATTGGCCCAACCAAATCCGTCCCCCTAAGCTTCGAGGATATATGGTATGCCGTAGAGGTTCGAAGGCGCGCTATATTCCTCGAGAACGTCGTCCAGGATACTGACTTGAGCGCTAAAAGGCTGAACGCACGCTTGAGCCGGCTCGTTTATCTCACAACGCTCAAGTTAGCCGGCAAGATGCGCATCTGTTCTATGGCAGTGTTCAGCAACTATATCAAAATTCTTTCGTTCGGATAGGCGACTGCCGTTGGAGATCGCACTCTTCCTTTCGTCGCCAGCAATGTACAGACTATCACGACCATCGAGAGGGAAAGCAAAGCGGTACCCCTTCGAGCCTACGACGAGCCAGTGAGCATGACCTATACCTACGGACCGGACATCCCACGCTAGAAATGCGAGGCAGACAGCTTAGCCTAGCCTTCCCACCTCTTCCTGAAGATGCGCTCGAGCCGGCAGATTCACAAATGCGCCGACTCGTGCACACCTTACCTCCCGAGCTATTCGCCAGAATGTTGCAAGATTTCCTCCACATAGTATTCGAGCCGCGCAAAATCCACCTCGGTGTCGATCACCTCAATTTGCATCTCTTCAAGTCGTTAGATCGAGCAATGTACGCAAAGCGACGGAGTGAGTTTCGGCCTGGGAGTGTCTGGGTCATCGGACAAGGCAACTATAGAACGAGGATGGACTACCTGCCCTGGATGCCATTGCCAGTGATGAAGTCTATCAGGAAGACAGAAATGAGGTTCCAAAGCAGGACTACAAGTATCCGTTACTAGAACACTACATCGCTCTTCCCAACGATACTTCACCCGGCATAGACCGTCTCGATTCTCTTCCAGCTTACATGGGGATATGAGACAAAACCAGATCTAAGCTCTTGAAGAACCTGGCTTGCAAAAGTTGACGCGGTGAGGCCACTTCAACTCAATGAGCTGGTTCTCGGTTCAAGTGACGCTTACGGATCTGACGGTGAGTTCCTTGGTTGGTACTTTGCAGGTACCGCAAATACTTTTTCTGCCGATGCTCCTGCGCATATTCATGTGTTGGGGACGGGCGATGAGCGAGAGATGCCGGATCGCTGTCAAGTGCCGTCAAGTCATTGACCGAATAAGTCGGATCAGGCGAGGCTTGTGAGATGGACTAGCAAACATCAGTGGGTGGATATAGGACGAATTGCAAGCTCGATTATAGAGCTGTCCACTCATTCTCAGGAGATGGGCCGGGAGAGTGGGAGCGTGAGCTTTTAGGCGGAGTGGTGTTGTGTCTGTTGGGAGCCTATCCTCTGTCAATATGAAAACGGGTTACGAGTTACTCATCGTAAGTATCGTTTCAAACATGGCCGACCTGTCATTAAACTTTCAGAAACTATGTTGCCAATGAAGCAGAGCTGGAGATACTCGTTTTAAGATCTGAGCAGATCGAATGGGTCTTGACACTTCCCATTCCCAACAAGTAAAACTTCAACACCGAACTCAGATCGTGGAGCCACAGCATCCTAAGGATTGGTTCACCAGATGAACTGGATTTTGAAAAGTTGACCTAGTAAACGTTATGAGTTTTGCCAAGTCACTAGACAAACGAGATTCTATCCACCTGTTTTAAGGTCGTGCCGCGGTCTATATTCAACCCTCTGATTTAAAAAAAACTGCACATTCATGGGCGAGACTCATGTTATCTTACCAATTTTTGTAATTTGGTCTACCTCTTGTTTTATCCGTTCATGTAACACTTCCTCCGATTGGCGGACCCACATGGCGGCCACTAACCCCATGGGATTACCTCGCTGTTGTCGTTATTACCTTGGCATTATTGTACGATGGGGCTTGGAAAACCCTCAACCATCCAAGTTCATATCACTGACCTACAGAAACAAAAGCCAGGGAGTGCTGACTTCCATACTTTGATGCTGCACCTTCACTCTCTTCTCCAATATCTACCGTCGAACTTACCACTCCCCTTGAATCAAGCTTGCAACTTTCTGAGCTCTTGCCGAAGATGGGCCCAGGAAAGTCTTGTGCACCTCGTCTACTGCGACACAAGCTAATCTACCACCCAGATTTCGGCCCTGGGCATCTGCCTACCAGTGCTTCCCAAGGTGTCGAAAGCTTCTACATCCTCGCTCTCTGGGGCATGTTGACCGACGACAGACGTGCCCTCCTCGAACAGACCCTCCGCGGTCTCCCTCTCACGCACTTCTCGCGTCTAGAAGAGGTGCTCCAAGACCTCGACACTTGTTTCAGCAAGTGTAGTCTTTGGAATCGAATGGGAAGACACTGGGTCCTTCGCGACCTTTCGACTTGCTCACGCGAACGTCTGAAGGCCTACTTGATGATCCTTTCCACCCCAGGGTGTAATTACGCGAACCCAAAAGCAGAGGATAGGTACCTCTTGAGCGCCATTGGGGACGAAGACGTGGATGACACAGATTGGAAGCCCGACTATGCTCATGTCCAAGACGTTGCAGCCGAAGAGGCTCGTGAAAAGCTTGCTCGCGCCCGTGAACAGGCAGAATGGATAAACTTGCAACACGCCGTGCAAAGCCTACCCCTGGACCTCAACCTTCTTATTCGAGACACCATGCTCGAAGAGATCTTTGGGCCAGGGAAAGAGATCGTATTTCCATACGAAGGACCAACATATGTGCAGCACTTCCGGGCCCTCGATCGAAAGTTATATCATAAATACAGCTGCATCTACTACTGCCAGAATACGTGGGTGTTCGGAGAAGGATATGTAAGCTGGCTGATCGAACATGGCAAACTGGCCATACCGAGAGTCCTCTCAAAGATCAGGAACGTTACCTTGAAGTGGACGTGGAGGGACGTAGTGAATAATGGTCCCGCTCGACCGGATATTCAGAAACATATTGATTGGGAGATGAAAATGGCGGGCGCAGAAGGGTTCGACAACATTAAAGTTATGCAACGGTTCCGATGGACTTGCACGAAGGTTACGACCGAGCTTCAGCACATCTGGTTGGAGAAGTTGCGCGAAATAGGCTCCATGCAACTGGATCACCTTGTCATCGATGCAAGAGAGGCTTTTGCTCCTGATGGCGAGTTCCTGGGATTGAAGGCCGCGCGACGCTGGACGAAGTCTATGCATCTACCGTACTTTCTGGAGATCTGGGCGCCTGTTCATAATGAGGATCTGGCTGAGCAGATCTTTCAGATCATCACAAGGCGGTATTCGTAAGCAGCGGTCTTGATGGCAGCCACTGCAATGTGTGCGCGGTAAAGGCTACACAATAAATATTAGGGTATACGTGGCCAGATTAGCTAGCAGTGCTCTTCGGACGACCGGGATTCGATGTTATGAAGACACGAGGGTCAGGACGATGTGAATGAAGAACGAGTTGAAATGTTGATAGCTCGTATCCAAGTCGAAATCTGCATTTCAAGTAGTATTTGTCAGTGCCTGTCTTGTGCAATATAGAATACTTCTTGAAGCGCTCCGGGCTATTCTCAGCGTCTTATAAAAGCCCATAATATGCCGCCGAAGAATTTGGGTTAGTCTTTACTCTTCATCAGACGGCGAGATCTGTCACTTCAGGTGGGCTCTGGACCGAGTCCCAAGGAAGTTTCTCAGTGGGACATGCGGGGTTTTGCGGTATCCACGTTGAACGAGCACTTTCCGTATCCTTTTCCGAATAGGCGTGTGAAGGCCCCCTACGAGACCTGCAACATCGATTGCGAACCCTAGAGTCTCTATCATGATATAGGTTGACGGAAAAGACAGCTTTCTGGGTTTCTGAAGCCCTTCAATGCTCTGCGCCGAAGCTGGGGTGCTTCTGCGACGTTCGCTGTGCTTTGCTGAGATTGACAAGTGGGCGGAAACGCAGTACAATGCCGATCTTACAACTGTCGGAAGACAACAGCGCTCATTAATATAGCTTCTCTAACCAATGTTAAGCTGCCCCCGGCTATCAATGTGGCAGATGCTGAGGGAGGGAGTGGGATGGTGGTTGACTAAAAGGTTCACTGGTAGCGCCGTAGATCGCGACATGATAATTGGTGAAAGGTCGCCAACGTCGCCGCCCGCGAATTCACGGTCCAATAGGCTAAGTACAAGAGCTATGGTATGCGCAGTGAGCAGATTCGTACGACTGATCATGAATGGTGGAGATTGCAAAAGAGGACATGCATCCATCTGAAATGGTGAGGCTCTGCGGATCGGCACGCCGCTGTCGGATCCCTGCTGCCACATACTCCTCCCGGCAAGAGATACCTTTATAAGATGACTACCTGACAGCATGACAGCCTCCGCCTCTTCCGCAACCCAAGTCGAGCAAGCCCACCAACAACCCCCGGACCCTCAGCGCACCGCCGAAGCCCGCGCCGCCTTCACGGCCCACCTGACCTCCATCGGCAACACCCACATCTCCGCCCTCGAAGGTCGCGTTTCCGACATCCACCACAACTCCGCCGCCATCGCCAAGCAGGAAGATGACGTCTCCAGGCAGACGAGGAAGCTCGCCGCCGAGTCCAGGAAGCACCAAAAGGTCGCCGATGATGCGGCGGAGAAGCTGAAGGAGCTGGGCGATATTCAGAATTGGGCGGAGGTGTTGGAGCGCGATCTCCTGGTGTTGGAGGAGACTATGAAGATGGGTGAGGCGGGCGAGGACGGGTGGGAGACTGAGGATGAGGGGAGTGTGGGTGAGGGCGGTCTGGGAAGGGCGACAATGGTGCAAGGGCGCGGGCAACGATTGAATGCTTCAGAGGGCTATGGTCCACCGTCATGAAGGGGCTTGGGAATGGTCCTTCAAGAGTCTGCCTTGCGACTGGTTGGAAAGTGTCTGGTGCTGGACTCGGGGTTGGTCTTCCGACAACGAATCATGAACGACGATTCGCGGGAACCATGGCAGTCGGGCGTCTGAGCGGTTGGCTAAAAGAGAGATAGCTGTCACACCAAAGGAGGGTGAGAGACGGGGAGCCTCTACTATCTTGATGAACTGTACTGCAAAATGTCACGGTTTCTGCGGGCCGCTAGCTGTTAAAATCTACTCCGTTTCCTACAATTCCGCCTCAGCTTACTCGATTCAGCCTCTCGGGTTATGGTTTCAAAAGGCTAATGTCAGCTTCGTACCAAGTTCAGAAAACATCGATCCTATGTCGTCCCCCTGGTGTCGCTCTCGGAGTTTGCCACCTCCTCACTACAAGTGGGAAGACGCCGTCGAGCAACTGAACATCCTCTATAGTTTTGCGTTTCTGGACCCTTGTTCCGGGCCGTCTCGGACCATCGCCTCATTAGTCATGCCGTCCCTGGCCTCGTTTGCTACCGGTGCGATGGGACATGTCTTGACAGGTGTCGCCCGCCTCTCCCCGCTGCCCCTGCTCGTGAACCTGCCAATCCAGCACCAGCTGCGTCGTCCGGCTGGGTCACACGCTCGATGACTGTAACCGTACGCTCTGGTTCTCTTCCTGCCTCTGTGTCAGTGTAAGACGATGATCATCGTGATGTCGAATTAAATGCAGTCGTCCAACAGAGATATGCTTCGCTCACATTGAGCCGCCGTTCTTGAAGACTCCGCCCGGAGGTAGTGAAGCTGTGTTTGCTCCCTCGGTCAAGCAACCTGGCATCAAGGTCACATACTGGGCCTGTTTGAGATCTTTTCTCTTTTTACGACTCGATAGTCTACACGAGCTGCTGATATGGAGATCACTCGGTTTACTAGCTTGGATGAATGCTATAGTATATTCTTGCTCCTTTGCAAAGGTGCCTTATCAGGGCCATAAGATGCTAAGCCAAAGCGGAGCACGTGTTCGAACCTCATTTCACCAAAGACTTCCTCGTGTGAGCAGTGAACAATGATCAGCTTTCTGTCTCTCGTTCGCGGATATATTATGATATATTTAGGTCTTCCTTTACGTGCTTACATGTACACAGTCAATGCCGAGGACCTTTCTCCACGTATGAAAAGATCTCAGACGCAATTTTCGGATCTCGGATTCGTACTAGTATTCCATACATGTTCCTTTTTGGCGGCCCGGGATCGCTGTGACTGAGACGTGTCGTCTTCGACGCGGACGCTTCGAAAGGAAACCCGACTCTGTGTACCTTGCGGGCAACTTTCGTGACTTTGGAGACTGTTGTGGCTAGCGTGAAGAGCTCGGTGAGGGCGCTGGCGCTTGATGATGTGATGTACGAGGTCAGTCAAAGCGGACGCATCTCCCCTGCTCTGGGCTTCACCGCGCGAAACCGTGGAGGCCGCAGAGAAGCGTCTCGTTGCGATGTAGATCATGGAAGAAATACTGCTTGTTTACAAGAATTGTTTTTCAAGCATGTGAAATTCTGTTGCAGTCCGTAGCGAAGGCTGTAAACAAGGCACGTCGTAATCGTGACCGACACCAAGTTCGCTACAGGCCTCTTGCGCTGAAAGAAATATCTCGAGGCTTTTGTGTGGTCACTGTGTGGTCACTTGGTTCTAAAGTCAATGGATACAGATAGAAATAATCCTTACGGAGGCCCGGTGTATCCCCAGTCCTATCAAAGTACGAAGGCCAAAGCTTTCATTTTCCACAACTTAGATACAACCTAGAAGTAAAACACAAACCATTACACCATCGTACCAGCGCCATTAGGATTCGAACCTAATACAATTAACGAAATACACTGACCACAAGACTCTGGATGCGGGTCACTGGTAAATGCACCGCCATCTGTCAATGTCCAAGAACATAGGCTCGCAGCCATCCCAGGCATCTCGTATTGCCTGCCGCCGGTTTCGTCACCGTATACAGAACAATTGCTCAGAAACTGGGGAGTTTTCGTTTCATCTTCTTCAACACCGTCGTCCCCTTCTCATCTCCCAGAGCTGTGGTAGCCGTAGCATACTTCGCGTAGCTTTTGCGATACATCAAAAGCTGATGGATGCTTGACGACGTCGTAAAGCACCGCGGAGATGTCCTCACTCTCGATCTGGTCTGTCATTAGCTCCTTTCGATAGTGAAGCGGCGACTGAAGATTGACAGGAACTGACTCCTGTAGCACGAAGAGTTCGGGTTGGAATTGGCCGCTTTTGCTTTGTGATGAGTAGAGGGGAAGCAGAAGGTGAGGCTGATATGATCTATTATCACTATCTTTTCCTCCGTGCTAAAGTCTTGATTGCCAAGAGATTGATGATGTTTGATTGGTTGATCTAATCTGATTAAGACTACACTACGTTACAGTAGTCTCAACGTGTAAGTTTGACGGCAATGTTTCGGCATTGCCGCAATATTCTTTTTTTGTCGCCCCATCTTCCCTCGTCCTTCTCACTACCGACAGTTACAGTTACAGTTACATCTCATCGTTGCACCATTTCAGATATGGGGTCGACCCAGTGAACCAGATTCGCTGCGTAGCGACCTGGGCTATGGATGGATGGCATTCATCTTCCACCAGGATCAACGTGTCACATCTGGATTATCATCTCTCTTCCTTCAGGGTTTGGTGGACGTAATCCGCCTTTTCAGCCTCTCTCGTGGATTGGATGCTCATGGCGCCCCAAGCACATCCATGTCCGGCTCCGTTCGAGAACGAAACATGATGGGCAAAACGCATAGTGATTGGCCAGCTGTTTTAAATTTGAGGCAGAATCCGTGTCGGCATCTCGATTCTCGATTCAGCTCCCGGAAACCGCTGTCCACTATTGACTTATTTCTGTCCAGTCAACTCGTTGGCCATCATTATGTCCATTTCAATTCTCATCTGGACAACTTTAGTTGGTCGTGTCATGACTGCCGTCGAATCTTCACACGTGCGAGACATGCAACTTTGCGAAATTCGAGGGGTGCGAATACTTTACTTGACGTTTTCATGCCGAGTTCGAACGATTCTCCTCTGCATCTCAGCTGGGAGCCTGGGGCTGAGCCTTAATTCGTTAACCCCTCGCTTATTCACTAGGCCAGCCCTATGAGACCCTAATAAAGTGGAGTGTGGAAGAAGTTATTGGTGCGACTTTCCGGCTGAGATGCGGCGTGCTTTGAAACTAATTCCCAAAACGACGGGGTCTTCGTCGTACTAAATACGTTTGATCGCTGGTTGGCTGATGTTTTAGAGATCTCACTTGAATTTCATCTTGGAGATCCACAGAGGGTGGCTGCGCCGTACACAGCCGTCTCGCCCTGTAAGTAAAAACTGTTAAGCATTCGAGTCTTCTGCTTAAAGACGCGGGCGCGGTCCCCCCTTTTTGGTTCGTGTTCGGCTTTTGGGAACGTCTATTGATTGTGTGTGCTTTTTACAACTTCAGCATTGTCTGTTGATCGTGCATACGACGTGCTTCTGGAAGTCGTTCTGCTCGTTGACGTCTTGGATCGCATTCAAACGTGTATATTTGTGATTTTATGCTTCTTATGACATGCGCGTCCAGGCATAATCGAGACGAGCATTCGATTCAAGATCTCTGATCCATCCACTACGCCCGTCAAAATCTAAGCCGGTTCATGGTCATCCGGTTCCCCATCTCCCCCCCAACTCAAAGACTCCAACACCAAGTGGAGGCATGCGATTACCCACCCAACTACCGTTTGGCATCATATGCATCCTCTTTACCCACTGCGCCCGAGTCACAGCAGTGTGCCCGACGCTACCATGCGACGAAATTGCTCCTGTGTACGCAGTCGACAATGCACCGCTGGTGAGTGGTTCACTCTCGAGCGCTCCAGCTGGGAAAGGTCCGGCCGGCAATGCTCCAGTTTCATCGACAACACCCACTGCAGTGAATTCGCCGGCTATAAAAGTTCATGTGGTATCGAGTACACCACCTGCTGCAATCCCCTCGACCTCGAGTACGCCGAGTCCGGTACTTCCACCAACAACAACATCCTCAACTGCGCCCACTTCAATCCCCAGTCTTATCCCTTCGGCTGCAACACCAACATCAACACCTTCAGCTGGGCCCACAGTAGTTTCTAGTCCATGGCCTTCTACCGGGGTACCTACCGTGACACCTCCCTCAATCATGGCAGCATCATCCAATGCGACTTCTCCAGTAACTCAGTCCACTGCGGCATCGTACATCAGCTCTGCGGCGTCTAGTTCGTCGGCCTCAGCAACCGTACCGGCATCAATCACACAATGTGGCAATTGTCGAGTGCTGGCGGATCAAGTCCAGGTTTACTATTGGCCTACTGCATCAGTGAAAAACAATTGCGCGCGAGGGGCTTCCATCAACCCATTCCAGACCGGCGTTCCTTACGCATCTAATGCCTCGAGGATCCAAGCTCTGGCAACTCAGGTGACAAATGGCCCAACCGCTGTCCTTGATGGGCATACATTGTAGGCCAACATTCTGATGGATATAGATCCTTTCGTACTGATAACCGCTCTAGTACTTTCCCATCGCTGTACGTATCCGTTGTTGGTGGGATCTCAGTATCAGATTCTTGCGGTCTTCTGGGAAGCGTGCACACCAATCCTGCACCTGTAGCCGTTCAAGCCATCACCACCGCTTCATATGCCAACTGGCCGTCAACCTGTCGGCCCCAGGGCCTGAATGCGGAAGCCGTCATTGATACTTTGGCTCTCTCGGACCTTGCATGTCCCACTTGGGGGCTTTCCAATCCATTCACTACCTCCTGCGATGGAAGCACTTACCTGACAGCAACTTATGGCGAGCCGTACAACCCGGTCATCTTGGTGCCAACAGAACTCATGTCGATCGACCCCGCTTGGGGAGCTTGTACTACTAACACGGCCGACGCGCTTCTAACATTGCCATGCGGCATCTATGATCCGCCAAAGACCTTGCAAACGGCGACTGCCCTGGTTCCCGGTGGCGATTTGAATGATCCTCCTACATCTGAGTCGATGTCGGTATTTAATGCAGCAGATACATTGCAGCAAGCTCATGCGCTTGCACCGAGTGTTACACCGGTGAATAACCCTCCCGCGCAAACGGCGCTGAAGGCTGAGCCGGCCGATACTGGGTCGCCAAGTTTACCAAAACCTACGACAGTGCCAAGCAGTGCCGGTAGTGATCCCTCAGAAGATCCAAGCAAAGAGGTGTCGGATCCAAACGGAGCTTCGGATCCAGCAGACATTCTCAAACTGGATCCGCTAGCTCCTAGCGCTAAGCAATCGGATGATCCAGGCCAAAGTAGCCCCGTTCAGCCAGGTGCTCCAACGCCGGCTTCAGATCCTCAAACATCAGATATGAGTAGTCCTGGTCCAAATGCCTCAGACGACCATGCAAACTCGGATCTGACTAGTTCTGAATCAGATAGTTCTGATGGTCCGAGTCAAAATGGTCCCCCTCGAAAAGAAGCTTCAGCTCCAGCCTCAGAGTCTCAAGTATCAGATCCGAACGATCAGCCGGCAGTACCACAAGCACCCACGACTATCACCCTGGGCGGTGAAGCGCCATCCACCCAAGGCTTAGGAGCTTTCATCAACGGTGCCCTCGGAGGAGGAAGCGCGCCTGCTCCCTCCCCTGCTCCATCTCCAGCATTCACTCCTCACGCCATTACCGCTCTCGGCCAGACCCTCAGCATCACCGATCCATCCGCCGTAGCAATTGCCGGCAAAACACTATCAGTGGGTGGACCGGCCCACACATCCGACGGAAAATACTACTCCCTGGCGCCCTCTGGAAACCTAATTGCTGGCACGCTAGCCCCGACTCCCGGACCTTTGTCGCCACCAGTGCTCTCTGTTGCTGGCTCGAAATACACCGCAAATGCGGCCTCTCAGTTCGTCGTAGCAGGCCAGACGTTGACGCCAGGAGGGCAAATCACTGTAGCCAGCACACCGATATCGCTCCACCCCTCCGCCGACGTCGCCGTCGTTGGAGGTAGCACCCAGGTTCTCACCACCCCCGCACCAAGTCCAGACCCTGCGGTATTGACATTTGCGGGCTCCACGTACACGGCCGACGCAGCTTCGCAATTCGTCGTAGCTGGCCAAACCCTATCCCCGGGCGGTCAGATAAGAGTTGCCAGCACACTGATATCTCTAGCACCCTCAGCCAACGTCGCAGTCATCGGCACCAGCACCCAATCCTTAGCAACCGCTCCCGCCCCACTCGCCGCCGAAGCGCCCGTCCTGACATGGGACGGCTCAGCGTACACGGCGGACGCCTCGTCCGATTTCGTCATCGCGTCTCAGACCCTCACGCCCGGCGGCATCATCACCCTTCTCGGCACGCCGATCCGGTTGGCGCCGGGCGCGGCGGACGCCGTCATCGGCACGAGCACGCAGTCGCTCGCCCCGGCCGCCGTCCCGCCGGCGGACGTGTTCACGCTCGCCGGGCAGCTCCTCACGGCGAACCCGTCCGGGTTCGCCATCGCGGGGACTACGCTCCTGCCGGGCGGCGGCGGCGTTACCGTCTCGGGGACGCCGGTCCGTTTGGAGTCCGGGGGTACGTTGGTCGTGGGGACTGGTAGTCTCGTGCTGCCTACGCCGGGACCCGGTGCTGGGGTGGGGCTGTTTGAGGGCGGGCAGGGGAAGCGGGCGTCGCCGCGGATGGCGTGGTTCGTTGCCTATACCATTCTTGGGACATTGCTGGGAGCGTTCTTTTTCGGGTGAGGGACGGCTGGAGCGGGGTTTTGGGGCTTGGACGATATAGGTTCGTCGTGAGGGCTACATGTAGGATTCATGGGTAGATAGATAATGTTTGATGCATATATTATAGATAGACTAATTACTCTGTATTAATCAGAACTTAATCATTGCGAAGCGGAAGAAAGAACGGATGTTCACACCTTTCATGGCACTAGACTACAAGCTGAGTTGATGATTGAGCTCTCAACTGAATTGGAGAAATCGAACTACGCGATACTTCGGGCCGAGGATATGAGACCTACATATGATTCCATTTCTCGTAAGATACTCCAATTACAAAGCGTTCTTCATCGTGCGGAAGAACATCCAAAAGAATCATTGCTCGTACGACCTCAGCCGATTCATCAATCCTCAGTGAGCGAGCTGGCCCAGCGAAGGAGCGTCCGCCAACGCCGGAAGATGCGACGAACTGCCTTCATCCCCAAGAAACCTGATTTCAAGTGTGAAAACAATCATAGAGTGTTCGAAGTTCGGGTCTACCTCTAGCAGGAAAGCCCCCACCAACATTCAATGTTTTCACCCTTCCTCGGCGTGCCAAGTCCTTGGTAGCATTCGTCAACTCAATGTTACCTCACTCCTATACATCGATCCAAGATCAACTGTTAGCCTTGTCGGCATGTCTGAACCCTTACGAACCGTTTCTGTTCGCAAGTAGTGTTCGCTTGAGGTGGACCTGTCTAAGTCTCACGCACCCTCGAGTGACCATTGCCATCTCATGCCGCAATAGGGTTGCGCTAGTCCACTCGTTTTCGAGACTTTATATCCTTTAAACTATCATCCATCCGAAACCTTCAAGACTTCTGGTTGAGCTCGGGGTACCGGGTAGCTTTGTTCGTTGATTTGAGTGGCTCACAGGCTGCCTCACAGACCTCGGAGGCCGGCGGGGTATCTTCGACACTCTCTTCCAACAGCAATGACACGGAGCCTGGACCATCGTCGGGTCGTTCAGCTGGTCGCAGAGGTCGAACATCCTGACTGGTCAGAAAAGAGCTTATGAGGTCATTTCAGTTGCTAGGGCTGGTCACAGCCTCTGCTGGTGTATGTGTATCGGGATCGTGTACTTGAGTTCCCCCTTGGAACCCACGGAATCCCTTACGGACTTGCTCAGTTCCAGCTTGTCACAACCCTCTCTTTGCCAAGTGGTGCCGTGTCTGGCAAGTATGATCGTGACGGCAAGAGGACCTTTCGCGCCCTCCCTCCAACAATTGAGTGCGAGTGACAATCTGTCTTTCGACTGATCCCACTTTACTTTCCCTCCAAATGAAAAACGCCACCGACATGGCACTTCGAATTCCAGCCCTTGGTTTGTCATAAGGTAGGGGAACCTCTTCTTTTTCAGGGACGAGTGGATCTTGATGTCCCCCGACTGGGCAAAACAGGTCGGCCAGGGAGCCAGCAGTCCATGACTGGCTCTTGACGAAGTCCAGGCGAAGACCGACTCATCGTCCGACTTCCGGATAATTTCCAGCTGAAGTCTCACGAAAGCTTTGTTCCCCTCTCCGTAGAGCAGCGGCATGTTGACGTCAAATAAGCCCAGCATACAGTACGCCATGTCCTCCAATCTGCTGGTCGCTCGGCTCGACGCCCAGCTCATCTTTGTTGCCACACATGCCGAGGACTGCGATTCCATGTGATCGACGCTGATTCCTGTCGCGGCTGATATCTCCCTAGACAGATCCTTCTTGGTTCCAAAAGATTTCCACTCACGATCAAAGAACATCACCTTAGGAGGAGCGAGCAGTTCTTGAAGCGTCCATCCGCGGGTAAACCATACGCTTGCTTGAAATGCTAGCTTAGACGCTTCTCTGTCTTCAATGTCCCAGGTGACGTCCGAGAGGTATGCATAGCACTCCGCCGCACCTTCATACCAACGATACATGGAATTGATCGCCTCAGAGAGCTCAGCGCTGCTCTTCTTGTCGATGCAACAGGTGTCAATCCAAACCCATTGGAAACCTTGGCTGTCGGCGACAACGCAGCACTCTATGACCTTGTCATAGCCTTGACCGTCTTGCTTCGTGCCCTTTCGGAACTCCTGAAAGGTCACCTCGTCATCGCCCCATCTGTGCGATAAAATAGCGTACTTTGGGATTTGGCTATCGAAAAACTGCTCGAATTGGAGTGATTTCGTGTTGAGCAGACGCATATTAGATGAGTTGGGATTTTTAGTCGCAGAGAGGCCGTAGGTGTGGAGATCCGGTTGCGGAAAATGCAAGATCAGAGGTACTTTAGTGACCGAGGCCGTAAGACGGTTGTCCAAGGTGTGCGGTGAATTTCGAGGAATGGAAGTCGATTTGGAAGTAAACGTAGTAATCACGCTGTGTCTGAGGAAGAGCGCTGCTGCCTTGGAGTTTAGGCGAACCCCGCGGCTGCGGGGGGGGGGGCTGAGATGAAGAAAAGACGCAGGCTCCTTTTAGAACCAGGCTTTTTTAGCTGAGTTGCTAACACTAAGGAACATACCAAGACTTTATTATAGCTTCATCTTTTCATTTGAAACCTATATTAACAATAGCAGTGTTATTAAATAACTTTGCGGAGAGATTTCTATACTACAGTACGAATTTGGGTGTGTGGTGTGAAAGATCTCCGGTGCCAAGTATTCCAGATGTTTTTGAATACGCTAAATCTAAGCGGAATATAGCAGCTCCTTCCAGCGCCTCACGAGCAGCAACAGCCGCCTCACCTTCACATGTTTTCTAAGCCATCCGCGCTTCCTACCGTCTCTGTTGTATGTTGACCTAATATGAAGACGTCTAATTGCCCGTTACCGACGTAAACCTCATCCTCTTGTTCACCCACAATCATGTAAATATCGAATAGAAAATTTAAGTGAGGATAGAACAGTCTGAAACTGTTGGCGCCGAGCAACACATCGACGACTGTTCCATACGTCAAGTACTGTTCTTGATCTGGATCTATTGCGAGTTTCGAAATCAGCCATTATCGAGACGCCCAATTGCAGTCAGATGAGAGGAGGAAGATTTCGCAAACACCTACCTTGTTTCCACGGCACAACCCCGAGGACAATTGTCCCGCTTTCCCAACCCCTTTTGATCATCTTTGTGGACCGTTTCGCCCGGTCGCTGCATTCCCTTATGGCTTCTTGGAAGCACTCGCCTACTTCGGTCTCGTTGCGGTCGGGATTGAGCTTCCAGTACTGGAATTTTAGCTTGACGGGCGGGTCCGAAAACGGCACCTCGTAGTACATGCCGTGTCCTGGTGGCTTCAGACCAGGTGGGAAGCTGAGTTGGTATGAGTGGTGCACTTCTGGATCTGGGAGAGTCTTACGCTGGGCCAACGGATATGCGCGTGCTACCATCAGGTATTGTAATGTTGGGAAGAGCAGCAAAGGAAGCGGTTGTGTTTATGAGGCCGAGCTGCGCTGATGATTGCGAATTGAAAGGTGGCGCTGCATTTGTTGATGCACAGAACCCGAGTAGCAGTGCAAGATAGATACTGTTAGTCTCCTTCATTGTAGAAGAGTACGAAGATCGTTAAGTGAGATGTGTAAATCTGGCGACGAGATCCTATTTTCTACAGACGCTAAATGTTTGCCGAAAGCGGATGGATCTGTATCAGGTGCAAGCGCTGAGGCTGTGCGAAGAGACAATTTGCGGTCGCAAATCACTCTTGCGACAAATAGAGCCGTAAAACGCATACAAATACTGTTGTAGTCCCGTGTCTTCGTTTCGCTGACGTTTGATCGACTCTAGGAAGACAGTCGATATACAAGTTGGATGATTACTCACCTACCCCTTTGAAGCTTGATTATCCGCTCGTCATTGTCGTGAGAGCGAGGAAGGACTTGGGTAGAGCAGACCATATAAGAGCACAGTGGAGCCTGGCTAGACAGAGTGAGCAAGGGCGGATGGATGTTGAAGTGTTTGCGAGATAATGAGGGAGCACGGCTGCTGGGATGGGCATACTGGCCGAATTTTTTTGAGAGTCTCCAGTGTCACTGTTCGCTGCGGTCGGAGAAAAGTACACATTACGTAATCATCTTTTCAATTCACTCTTTACCGTCCGGAAGGGAAATCTGTTTCATGTTCCTCATAAGCAGTCTCTGCTCAGCATACTAATCATTTCTTCTTGTTCATCGCCTTGACGCCCCAATAGATATCACACTTGAGCAATCATGGGCGCCTGGGGATATGGCCTCTTCCAGTCGGACAACGAGCTCGACACCATAGAAGAGATCAACGAAGAAGCGGGCAAGCTTGCCAACGATCCCTTGTTCAACTTTGAATTCCCTAAAAACCATGATGAGGTCGTCGCCAAGCTCAACGCTGGCCTCTTCCATCAGCTTCTTGCAAAGTTCCAAGCTAAGAAGTAAGCGCTTTACGATATCATTACTCATGATTGAACTTGCGACCCGAGATCCAATGGAGGAGAGCATGCTGACATCTGCTTGATCCAGTTGGAAGCACGGCATCATCTACCTCGGCGCCCTATCCGTGCAGCTCGGCGTCAAGATCGGCGACGAAGACATGCGGGTCCTCCGGGATACCCTCCCTCGCACCAAGATGTACGACGAGGCGAGGGCGCAGATGCAGAAAGGGCTCGATGGCTACAAGAACGACGGCGAGGCTTGGCACTTTGAGAGTCTGGGGTTGGAGGACACCATCCAGGCCCGGGGGGAAAATATGTTCCCTAGTTGTGAGTGGTAGAATACCGGGGGTGCGTTGATGGGATCGGGGACTGACGGCGGGTTAGCGCATGGTGCTATGGGGATGAATGTCTTGCAGGATCCTGATAAGGTGCCGACGCCGATGCCGAAGGATGGGGATGTGGAGGTCGATGAGGAGGAGGAGGGGAGGAAGAAGGAGAAGGGACCTACGGGGAAGGATGCTTTGACTAATAAGGCGAAATTGAAGGCTTGGCTGTCTTCTTAGGCAATGAGCTCCACGCTTTGAGGAGTGGTATCACCGGAAGGTCCTAAGCTTGCATAGCATGGCATTTGGTGCATAAGTACGTCAGATCGGGCGTTACATCGCATCAGTGGCTCCGGCAGAAGTGAGAGCTAACTCTGGCGACTCAGCTGGCTTGAGAGGACCTGCGTGCCCAGATGCTAGATCACAAGGCTTTTGCTGGTAACATCTGCTCTGGAACACCTGGGTTGGAACTACGCGGAGGCTCATCCAAGCACGATAAGCCAAAGTGGGGTGTCATCTTCAAACAGACTCATAGCAAACGTGTACAGACTCTGGGGGGTCGCCAAATAGGTCCATATGATCTGAAGAGCGAAATGACCTTCTCGCTTTCTGGAAAAACATTACCCGGAGTCCCTGCATCTCATGCTGAGAGAACATCAGCCCAAACATCATTTTTCATGATATACTCCTTCCATGTAGTCAACGGGCACGGAACGCCGAGCTATACTTCATGATTAGCACCACCTCACGATATCTATCTCATCTGACTGAACCCACATCTTGAGCGTGCACCACACCCTCTTCACCACCCGTGTAACCGAATTCATCCATAAACAAGAACATCTCCCCCCACTCTTTGCCCAGGCCTGGCACGGGAATGTTCTTCTCATAGGTTTGGATCGGGATCTCGTCGTAACCACCGAACGGAACTTTCTTGACCTCGCACCACACTTTGGCATAGTCGCTCCAGGAAAGCATGCTGCCTGCCGCTAAGACATTCTTCCCCGGAGGCGATTGAAGCGCTGCGTGGACTACGTAGCCGGTGTCTTTCTCGGTGTCGAAGTGGGGTAATGGTGTCCTGCCGGAGCCGACGATGGAGAAACGGTAGGTGCCGTCGGCTTGCTGTATGATGTTAGTAACTTCATAGTTCCAACACGGTGGCGGCCGCGAACTTTTGTGGGCTTGTTGTATTTCCAGTTGTTCATATATACTCCGATCTGCACGATCGACATCTTCGCCGCCAGCTTCGGGTGCTTTTCTCGAATATACTCCACGGCGTTCGCCTTGGCGTCAAAATGGTAAACCCAGGTGTACTTCCCTTTGCTCAACTTCTTCACATTGCATACAGACGACATGATCAACCGATCTAAAGCTTCCACAGTAGCAGCCGCATCAGCGACATTTTTGCCCTGCTGCAACTCGACGTCGTAGCAATACTCGTTGATCGATTGTCCTGGCTTGAGTTTCTCTTGAGTTGCAGGATTATAGAACTGATTCCAAAAATCAGTGTTGGAGAAGATGGCATTGGCGCCTTTGAATGCTGCTACGAGCGACTCTGTATCGTTGAGGTCGGCTTTGACAACTTCGACGCCTTTGGCGGTCCAGGACTCGGCCTTGGATGGGTCGCGGGATATGCCACGGACTTTCCAGCCGGCTTCTTTGGCGTAGAGCTCTGCGACGGAGCCACCCTGTGAGGTCAGCAAGCTGGCGCGAGAGGTGATGAGTATATAGTAAGATACGTACCTGCTGGCCTGTGATGCCAATGACGACTAGGAGCTTGGACATCGTGAGCTGATCTCGCAGAGGTTTTTGGTCGAGGTGAACGACAACCAGTTCGGTATTGTGAGGTGATGTAGGCTTGTTTGTGAATATTCAGGCACGGAATCGAAGTGTTTTGAGCATGAAATCTTCAAGTATCATGTATAAGTAAGCAGCTCATTGGAACCTTCGGCTTTCGGCACGACTTGAGGCCGAAGGCCCGAACGGTACCAAGAAAAGAGAAGATGAACAGTGTCTCCGCTCAAGAAGTCAGAGAGCACTGAGTCATATACCACGAAAGCGTTGCGGCGGAAGAAGATTTCGCGTGCTTCGAGCGCTACACTCTGAGTTCAGGCTTTGATGCTGAGTAGTGCGTAGGCCGGATGGAGGTCGAAGTCTCGGGTACCCTTCTCATAGCGGTCAAGGTGGATAGGGTTTACTATGGATTCGTGGTTGATCAATGGAACATTGTAAATCTGGTCCCTCAGTTGGTGCGGTAATGATGTGAAGTTGACCATGTCCTTGCCGTCATTGGTTTCCAAAGGCACAGGTATTGCAGTATTCTTTTGTGCTATATTCAGTGTCGACGGATGACCACAATTGGAGATCTTACTAGCCCGGCATGATGGCCTGTCACAATTGTGCATGCATGCAGAAGCAAGTGACAGTGTGTTAAGGTTCTGTTGAGTGATAGCAGATGTTGTGGTATTTTGTCTATAAGTTACGGTTCTTTTTCAATCAAAGGTACCAATTAAGCTGGCTTGAGCAAACTCTCTCTTCACCAAACCGCGACAAGGACTCAATGAAAGGGATCCATATAATTGTATCAAGTCTCAACTCCCCCTTACTTCTAATTCTCCGTTGAAGTACAGTCTCTTACGGTACCTTCGTTAACATCTACAAGTCTATGCTTACGCTTTCTTTCGCAACCTTCGGAAGCTTTCTTTGTTTGTCCCCATTGGCTTTCCTGATAAGGGAGTCATAACTGCACAACCCCACAGCTTCAAGCAGCCCAGCAGCAGTCAGCACTGTTGTCGACAAGCGTTAGGGAAACCTTGAGATACGCTAAATAGATAAGATAAGAGAAGCGCCAAGACTCAGGGACCAAGTTTGGCCCACACAAGTTTGCCACCACAACATGAGATGCTGCGACTCTTCGTTCTTCTCATCATTCGCTGGCGATGTGATGGTGAGGTGTCATTGCCTCTATTCTTATCTTCAGCTTAACTTTGCTTTACCTTGAAACATGCACGTAAAAATACTACTGCAACGAGCCGTGCATGATCGGGAAAGGCACAGCCCCGCAGGAAGGTGTGCCGCAAATTTGTGAGGAACGAGGCTGAAGGTTCAACTTATGTCACTGGTAATCCTCCCACCCTTTTCAAAAATGCTCAACATCCTCGTTCCACAGTAACTTACTTACGCTGTCACCTGTGACCTTGGCAGCACACTGTCCAATCTCGATGGCACCCCTCACCCCAAATGCCTCCGACGATTCGCCCATCGAATCTTCACCTCCGTCCTCAGATCACCATAGATCCAAGTCTGCAAGCGAGAAACAACGCGACGAGGCTCGACTTACATTCAATAAGACCATTGAGGGGCACTATCGTCATGGGAAGACGGGGTACAGACAGGTCGGAGCTCTGTTCTTGACATGGAAGGACGACGACATGCAGTGCAGAGAGACAGAAGTGGGTACACTAGGCGCTGGTCTACACAATGATTACAGGCTTACATCTGGCAATTAGGTGGATAAATTAAGGCAGCTGTTCGCCAAGGAATTCAATTTCAAGACGGTGTACTTCGAGGTCCCCTCGCAACGCTGGGAGACCGCCCTGCATAAGGCAGTGGCCGATTTTTGCTACGAGTACGATAGTCCTGAAGACCTTGCAATAGTATACTATGGTGGACACGCATATGAAGGCAGGGAGACGAAGCATTTCAAATTGGCAGCGTAAGCAAACCCCGAAGGGTGCCTAAGCGGATCCTACGATATCACCAGGGCAGCTGGAACGTTGCCAGTAATGCTGAAGACACCTGGTTTAAGACTCCGATGCTGATCAATCTATTTTTCAGGAAATATGATAATAAGGATGGAAACGGCGATCCCACTGCGTTCTTCCCGGACGTTCTTACTTGCTTGCGACTACCTGCATGCGACCAGCTTCTGATCCTCGACTGTTGTTTCGCTGCCAAAGCCTTCGCTCGGGAGCATATTGGGAAGCGCAAGTTCGAGCTCTTGACCTCAGCCGCTCACGACGCGACGAGTCCAGCACCCAAGTCGGAACACTCATTCACAAGGACGTTGACTACTGCCTTAAGGTCTCTACTCAAAGAAAATCCGAAGGGCTTTTGCACATCACACTTGTACCGCGAGGTGTATCATACTATCTCACCACACCCGGCAACTACCAAGCCGCTTCTCTTTGATCAATCGCGCCACAACTTCGGCAAGATCTGGCTAATGCCGCAGGTGCTCAGCGAGCGACCACCAAAGACTGAAGAAGAAGGGAGGTTTCTAAAGCTGACGTTCCGTCTGAACGAAAATCCAGACCTCGCTGTTATGAATGAACTTGCCTTGAACCTACAATTCCTACCTTACGTCGATCAAATCAAATTTGACGACCTCTATGCTCCTAGGGAACAGATCACCAACTTCATGAAAGCGGTCGTCCAGGCTCAAAAACTCAAGCCACTAATAAAAAAGATGCAAGCGAGACGCAAGCTCCAGAAGGTTGCAGAATTGAAGACCGGAGACAACAGGGTCGGGGCATCTAAAAGTCTTCTAAAGCTGTATCTCGAGCAGAACAATCACCCGGTCTATGACTGGAGTCGTGCGGAACGTGTGCCTGGCCACAATCCAAAAGACTCCGAAGAGTCTCGAGACAAGAGGAAAAAGACAAGGACGTGGCCGCCAGCTCACGGGAAGTCCTCTATGAGTGGTTCTTCATCTGGTGATACACTCTCGGCCGAGTACAAAGTCGAGGTTCCTGGGACCTTAGTCGCCACATTTGTCCCTCGACGTGCGAACACAATGGATGCTCTAGCGCATGAGAAGGCGAATGGTACGTTCTGTTCTGCCTTTTACCACCCTCAATTGGGTGGTTCCAATACTTACTGTAGAAGCAGCGACCGCCGCCTCTACGGACACAGATCAAGCTCAGGAGAGAGATGGCCGCAAACGCCAACGAAGCACGTCGCTCGATCGAGACACTCCACCAGAGAAGAGAGCTCACAAGGTCGACTGACGAGCCGATACGTACGGCGTACAATGCCATGGACTGAATCCCTTGCACAAACTAGGCTTTGGGCGTCTTTGGGATTTAGAAAAGCCGCACCTTCGAAAAGGAGTCATACTGAACGGAAGATGTTGTATCGTGTACTTCAACGTGCTTTCCTTCTCTTGCTTGCGCATGGGGAATTCATCTGCGTAGTGCACTTCTACGCTAGCTTGATCCTTGACATAGAACGCCATAACGATAATTGCTGTTTGTGGACTGTTTCGTGGTAGACCCTATGATGCCTTGAGGAAGGGCAACAATCGGCGGGTGGGATGATGAGGCATTAGAATAGAATAGTTGCAATCGTCGAAGTGGATTAGGGCGAAGTCCGGCCTCGGCGAAAGGTGCCGGACACTCCGAAGCTTTTGGCTGCTGGGCGCAGAGCATGCGCTGGTTGCAGCTGCAGGGCGATGTCACACAGCTGATAAACCCCTCTGCAAGGCAAAAGCAGGCAAATCCGCCAGCCTTATTGTCAATCGGGGCCTAGGAGCCATGGCGATATTACAAGAGGATGTCAGCCTGGGATGTTTCAAGGCCTTATAAAAACATACCAACAGCCAATTGATCTCATTATATCAGAGAAACATCCGCAGTAGCAGAGCGGATACATCCCTAAGCCCTATAAAGTCTCACCAGCAGCCCGTTGACCCCGATTCCAACTAGAACGCCCATTTTTGCGCCATGAGCGACAACGACCAGGTATGCTACCTAATTGACTAAGGCTTTTTGGTGAGCTCCCTGCAGTATACTAAGAGGTTTCGAAGGCTGGAGAGTCGTCCAACGCCGCGATCCCACCACACAATGACGGCCCAAACGAACGGAGCAAGTACGAGAAGAATTGGAAGCTAGACACCAAAGTCAGCCCCCGCACTTCCTGTGATGAGATCCTGCCGACTGACTATGCGCCGTTGTAGCATGTCGAGCTCTACAAAGAGAAAGATAAGGTGTACGTCAGAGGAGCTCGTGGGGTGGACCCCAAGCCATACAAGATCTACAAGGTCCTTGGCGAGGCGCAGTACAAGCTCTCGCGAGACGGCACATGCGACGGAAAGGTGTATAGGCAGCAGGACATACAGACAGTACCTTGACGCCTGCACAAAGCAAAGCAAGGCACGAATCATATATACGGATGTTTGGGATTGTAGCCAGTCGACCGGTTCTAAATATACTTCAATTTGAAACTTCTGTTCGCCGCTCTCTATGTGTCGAAAAACATGGCAGCCTTGGATGCTGCTTTCATCTGAAATTTGCACGGATTTGGGGATGAAGCTGGTAGAACTGGCGATCGATGTACAAAAGCAGCTCAAGCAAGGTGTCTCCGCGGGCAGAAACCTTTGCTTTTGGTGGTGATAATGTCAGAGGTGCAGGGGATTTGCACGATTACATTAGAGTACAATCGCCGCATTATTTTCTGGCCACAGCCCGGAGCTGAGGCGGCGCATATCCAATGGTGCAGCGAGCCAATGGCGGGCCACCCAGCGAAATTCGCACAATTCCGGCCTTCGCCTTCGTTCGGGCGGTCATCCTGCACCCTAATGAAACCTAAAGGGTAGGGGCGAAGGGGGCTTAGACATCCCACACACCCCATAAGGGCCACCACAAGGCAGATTGTAGGGTAGCATCCTTTGCTATGAACATGATAAGAGCCTACCTAATGATGCTCATTTTTGTCTGACAAGCTTGCGCTATCCTTATTGCTGCACCATTCTCGAAAGCGACCTCATGACACCGCGGCTCCACCATGCCCAATGCCTCCGGTCCCGGGACCCCACCTTCAACAGCACCAACGACTCCTACCTCTCCCACCGGCACAAATGATTTTATCGACTGCGAAAAGGGCAACGTTGATGAAGAAAAAGAAGAAGAAGAAGTCGTTGAAGAGTTGAATGAGAAGGATTCCCCAAATATACCGTCAAAGCACCGAGCGGAGGATGGACGGCCCAAACTCGTTCAGCGGAGTGAGGATCTCAACCATACATACTTGACCAGCTTCTAAAAATCTAATAGTCGACGATCATCCCTGCGGCTACCCCCAACTCGCAGCGTTCGTCAACAGCGATGAAAATTTCCTGATAGCTAGAAAGTACGGTTTCCTCCGAAGCAGGGTACTCTTATACCGTCAAGACGAACTCTCCGTTCTGGAAAGGGATCTCATCAAACTAGACGCCGATGATGAAAAAAATAGAGGATTTGCGCTGACGTCGAGAAAACGAGATGACGAAACTGATAATGACCCCCTATATTCACGCAAAATATTAATTCAAAAGATTGACGACAAGCTCAAGGAATATGGTCAGCATAATCTCATTGATGATGAGTTGAACTTAGATAAGCTCACAGTCGTCTTCAGATGGGCTCGTGAGCAGAATCAAGACATACCTGTCTCTCAGAGCCCCAACGTCACGAAATGCCAAAACGTTTATCGACTGGATCGAGGATCATAAGCCTCTCTCGCCAGAGGAGTCGACATTTATTCAGCACAAGGATGATTTTGTAGCTCTCTCCGATGGTCAAGAATGCGGCTGGCTCGATGGTATGGTCGAGGACGGCCTCAGTTGGTGTCTTCCCGTCAAATTAATGAAGGTATGACTTATCCCTATCCAGTCATCCCGCAACTGGCATCACATTTCAATAAGCACTCTGACACTCAGTCTCTAGAAGTTCTTCACATCCGAAGAGCAGACCAAAAAAACCGACGATGATCATCTTCACCTATACAGCAGACGCCGCATCGATATAGTAGTACGCCTTGTTCTTGTCCTGACCACTGTCGGTTTACTAGTGGGACCATCCGCGGTTTTGTACTTTGTCAACGGACAGAGTGCATTAAAGATCTGTCTTATAATGGTGTTCACACTGCTCTTTGCTGCGGCGCTCAGTGTGTGCACAAAGGCGAAGAGGCACGAGATGTTAGCTGCTACTGCGACGTGAGTTGACCCCTTTAGACTCATCGTCGTTTCTACTTGCACTTTCAACAAATGCGATAGATGGCATGTAAGCGCCTGATTTTATGCCAAGTCCTTCGTGGGGGATGCGTTTCTTTCCCCAACCCCCACTTGCCTCCAACCCATCATCCATAAATAATTTAACGGGTTCTCAACTCCCGCGTCATATTCATTGTATTCGGGTGCTACAGCAACAGAAGAAATATTTGGTTGTCTTTGTATCTTCTCTAGTCCTTTTTCACAATCATCCACGTCGAAAAGTCGAGTCCTGACAAGTGCACCATAGCTATGCTGCTGTCCTCGTGGTTTTCCTCGGGAATTTCAACTCAAGTACTTTGACGAGCTGAGATCTTGCTCGAAACGTCCAAACCCCGCTCAAAAGAAGGTATCATCCCAAATATAATTCTCAATCTGGTTGGCCGAATCGCGTAGTGGACAGACACTACATGCATTGAAGCCAAAAGAAGACGGATGCTTGGGAATGAAATTATGTCAGGCCACTATTGTTTGATACTCTTTGGCAGAAGTCTGGGCCCAATGGGTCTAGCAGTGACGGCTTTCAAAAGCCATCACTTGAAGTGGGTCTATTGGCATATACGATTTACGTACTTTAAGAATTATGATCTATGGATTACGAAATCCCAACTTCATGAGCCACTTCCAGCCGGACGTCCCGAAGATGTCATGCCAAAGCCTTTTCCTCTGCTAACTACTGTCTACACACTGTCCACTGACGGGCCTCTCCCTAGCGTACTGGCGCCCGCTGTACGAGAATAGCCTCCGAGAATGACACGCCGCATGTACGGCCTACCGCCCACGGTCACGGCAGGGACCCACACCTCCGCCCCCTTTTCACACCAGCGCCGCGCCGCAGTACGCCCTTCGGTCCGTCATTACGGTCAAGCGCGGCCGTGCTCCCATCTTGTGATCCCTTTGCCGCTCCGATCGTGGCGGTCTCATGCACCGCTTCGCAGAGGCAAAGACTCGTTTTCACGCCGATGTGTTATCGATGGCGGATCCGTAGCCTGTTGTTGGCTGCGCAAAGGTTCTTCGAAAGGGATTGGGCTACCGGTGCGGTCCTGGGATTTGCTTCGCTGTACGGAATCGTTCCGAGCTTAGTCGCGATGTCAGGTGCGTGGGTGGCTCCGATGGGCTCGTGTTGCTGCGCATAGATCGCGAGCTTACTTCCCGCAACCGATGCGTGGTTCGATCCGGTCGCTCGCGTTGCTGCGAATGAGGCTGACGGGAATCCTGCGGCGGCGGCTATCGGTTTCATCTGTCACATGCCTTTTTTGGCGAGTCGGACTGTAGCCACCGGACTAGGTGGACCGACCTTGAAGGGGGTGGGAGTCGGAGGGGGAAGGGGATTGTTTCGACCGCAAACCTCGAGGTTTCAGGGGTAAATTTGAAGCTTCTGACACCCTTGTAGGGGAAATGGACACCCGTGAGGATCCCATGGCTACCGAATCTTACGTCCTATCGCCTCGGAAGCGCTCAGTGCACGTGCACTGGTCCGCTGTCCGTGAAGCGGCATTCGCAGGCCTACGCCTGCGTTGCACGTCGTTGATGGTTTATGTTTATCCATGGACAATTCATCTCGCCAATTGCCCGTCAGATGGGTGCAACGGTACCATGGGTTAGGTATAATCCCCGTGGATAGTCGTTTCATCCCTGAGGGAGATAGATCCACGAATAACATGCAACACCTGTCTCTTAAGTCTGCTTGAACTTCGCAAGGCCGCGGTTTGCACCCGTGGCGATTGGTGGGGTACCGTCCCGTCCCTGCGTTTCGGATACGCGTCAGCACATGGCCAGCTTGCACCGAACGGGTACTTTTGTTCCCGAGCAATGTAATCCAATCATCCTACATATACAATATAATTCCCGTCATCTTTTGGGGCTTATTTATGTCTTTTGCCGGACCCTCCGAGTGGCACCTTAAGACTCAGGGGGCCCCCTGCTACCCGATTGCTCGAGGGATGCTGGTGGGGAACGGGGGCTGACCGGCTGAGAACACGCAGG